ACCACCCTATGAACTTGTCAATTACTTAGGTTACAATACTTTAATACAGTATAATCATCAAAATTATCAAGATTATAATAGCTTTAATTGTGGTCATTTATGTCTAAAATTCTTATGTGGACAGCTTGAAATAACTCAAAAATATATTCTATATAAGTGATTGTAAGTCATTGCAGCTAATCAGTATATAAAAAGTCATCAACATGGAAGAATCTTTTACTCTGACTATCTCAGGCAATTCATCTGTCCTGGAGGCAGAATATTTTCCTCCTATAGAATTATTATCTAATAAAAATTATGTACTTGGCTTAGTTGAATTACTAACTTTCAATTCAATTCCTAATATCGATCAAGGTAAAAATAAATTTTATATTGGTGATAAAGTGATTACTATACCTCCTGGAAGTTATGAAATTGAAGATATTGAAAAATATATTCAAAACTCTATTGAAAATGGATCTGAAATTGTAAGAATCAAACCTAACAATAATACTTTACGTAGTGAAATAACAAGCAGCCTTGAAGTGAGTTTTGAACAAAACGATTCAATTGGTAAATTATTAGGATTTACTCCACGAATATTGACAGCTAATAAGGCTCATACGTCAGATGTACCAGTAGCCATTCTTAAGGTAAATGCTATCAGAATTGAATGTAACATTACTACTGGTGCATACATAAATAATAAAAAGGTACACACAATTCACGAATTTTTTCCAATTGTACCAGCTGGATATAAGATTGTGGAAGTTCCATCTCACGTCATTTACCTTCCAATCGCCGTGAAGACAATACATAATATTCAAGTAAGAATCGTTGATCAAGACGGAGATTTAATAAATTTTAGAGGTGAAACTATAACAATTCGATTACACGTTAAATCAACGTAATGGGAATTGTATTTCATAGAAAAACTGGTGGAAGCTATATAAAAGAGTTGCCATGTCAGAAGTCATTCATTCCTCAATCAGTTCGCAAGAGACTAACATCTCAGAACATACTATTTCTGAAGCAGCTCGGCCTAAGAGTTTATCAAGAAAACAAGGGAAAAAATTGATTTTTCACATACTTTTTATTTGTTGTTGTAACAAAAATGGAAGAAATTTTAAACATTCTAAGTCCAGTTAAATTTGATAATTCTGTGGCACACTATGAGATTCATGCACATCAACCATACGTGTCATCAGCATTTAATAACAGTGATGAGATTCGAATTGCAGTTCAACATCAAGACTTGTACATTCTTCCCTCTAAAAGTACTTTACACGTCACTGGTAGAATTGTTAAGCCAAACAATACGCTTGTAACTAATACAAAGTTAATTAGCAATGGTATTTCCTACCTGTTTAATGAGATTCGTTATGAATTAAATGGTGTTGAAATTGATCGCTCTAAAAATGTTGGTATTACAACCACAATGAAAAATATAATTTCTCAAACACCTAATCAAATGATTTACTCTGAAAATGCTGGTTATCTACCTTATGATGATGATGATAGCAGAGTAACAAATGATGCTGGATATTTTGATGTAAATATTCCACTAAGTATGATTATTGGTTTTGCTGAAGACTATCGAAAGATTGTTGTAAATGCAAAACATGAACTTATTTTAACAAGATCTCGTACTGATCTAAATGCTGTAGTAAACATTGAAGCAGCAGAGCGTGAAGAATTTAAAATTATTATTAATAAAGTTGAATGGTTGATTCCATATTTAATGGTAAATGATCGACAAAAAATTGAATTATTGAAATTCATTGAAAAAGACTCACTTATAACAATGAGTTTTAGATCATGGGATTTGTATGAATATCCTATGATTCCTGCCACTCAAAAGCATGTGTGGACTGTAAAAACTTCAACACAAGTTGAAAAACCTCGATATGTTATTCTTGGTTTTCAAACAAATCGAAAAGAAGATCAAGAAAGGTATGCAAATTTATTTGATACCTGCAATCTTCTCAATGTTAAACTTTTCTTAAACTCACAGTACTATCCTTATGGAAATTTAAATTTAAATTTTACTCAAAACAAATTTTCCATATTATATGAAATGTATTGTAATTTTCAACCGTCCTACTATGGAAAAGAATCTGAACCTTTATTAACTAGAAATAACTTTAAAGATTATGCACCATTGGCTGTTATTGATTGCTCAAAACAAAACGAATTTTTAAAACAAGCATCTGTAGATGTGCGATTGGAATTTGAAGCAAGTGAAAATTTTCCAGCCAATACAGCTGCATATTGCCTTATAATTCACGACCGCATTATACAGTATACACCAATCAGCGGCGTTGTTAAAAAAGTAACGTGATTGGTGGAAATAATGACCAATCATAGATGACATCGGTAGTGGGGGTAATTGGAGTGGTGGGGGAAAGGCTATAAAGAGAGCGTCTCTCTAAGGCTTGAGCTATTATTCTATTTCAGATACCATGGCGTACGTCGTAGATATTCAGTGCTTCAAGAGACCATACAACGAGTTTGTCATCAAAGAGTTGGCGATTCTACCACTTCAACAAGATGCTCATCCATTGGTCTACCTCTTCGAGCCGCCATATGCCTGGAGTCGATTGCCTGCAAGATACAAATGTGAGAATCGATGGCTTACAAATAATTATCATGGTATCGATTGGGCTGCTGGTGACGTATGTTATGAAGAATTACAACCTATAATAAAAGAAGTACTAATAGGTACACCTACCGTTTATGTAAAAGGTTTAGAAAAACAAAAATGGTTCGAAAAATATACATTGAATGTGTTTAATTTAGATGATTTTAAATGTCCGTCGCTAAAAAGTTTAAGTGTAGACAGTTCATCTACATGTACAAATCACACACGTAGCTTTAGCAATTGCGCTGTTAAAAATGTATGTAATCTACGAAATTGGTTGATACAACCATCGAATGTACTACGAAATAATATAGAAAATAATGATGAAGTTGACAATGATTGTACATTTAAAGATTTTTATAATGATTGTGAAAATTTCCTATATAATGAATAAATGTATTAAATGTCTATTAATGTTTACTTTAATTAACCTTTCCCTATCCTATTATCTTTATTACACATGTGTAAAACTATTAAACATGTTAAAACTAGTCTAGACTTGTCTTATGACGTCACAAAGTGGGCGTGGCTCAATAATAAAAAGTGGGGGTATTTTACAAACATAAAACGCTATTGCGCATGCGTAGAATTAGTGGTGTGGGTAATGCGCATGTGCAGAATTAATGGTGGGGGTAATGCGTGATATTTGGGTATAAATAGAGGCACCTTGAGCTGTAAAGCTCATTATGTTTTGTAACTTCACAAAGTATTATCTCTAAGAAAAGATGGATCTAACCAAAATCAACGCCATTGGTCGCATGGATGCTTTCCTACCTACGAAGCCGCTTTCCGAGCTGACTCCTGGACATAAGTATCCTATAACAAAGATCCAGGTTGTCAACACCAGGTATGGAGTCAAGGTCGTCGTTGAGGTGGATAAAAAATTCAATACATTCCTACCTTCAAGATTTGTACCAATGTTCACTGATGACTCGATATGCTTGGATCAGATGCAAGAAGCTATTAATTCTGGACAATTACGACTAAAGTATATTGGTGGTCCATACAACCATATTGAATTTAAAATAAAACAAGTGTAAATATTGTATATTGAATGTAAAACAAGTGTAAATATTGTATATTGAATATAATAAATGTATGAAATGTTATTAATACTGTATTTAATTAAATACCTTCATTAGTATTACGTTAGATAATAAGGTTTACATTTTAAGGTTATGTTTAATAAAATAGATTTTAAGGTTATGTTTAATACAATATATTTTAAGGTTATGTTTAATATAATAGATTTTAAGGTTATGTTTAATATAATAGATTTCAACAACTTTTACAAGCGCCATCTATTAAAATTTTAATAATCTTATTAGTGTAAACAATATGGCGCCATCTTTGCTCGCGAAATACAAACGATTCAGTTGTGGCGCCATCTCTCGGCACCGCACTCTGTCGGTAAAACAAAATGGCGGCTCACTGTTTAAGCAGTTTGAATTTATTAAATAAAATTTTTTAATTTCCCGACAGGCAGGTTTGAATTCGCTAGTGGCGCCATCTGTCGGCGGTAGTCAGAACTAAAAAAATCGGTCGGTAAAACAGAGAACCCTTTGTAAGCCATTTGGAAGTTTGAAAATAAATTTTTAAATATCCCGCCAAGCAGGTTTAAATTCGCTAGTGGCGCCATCTGTCGGCGGTAGCCAGAACTAAAAAAATCGGTCGGTAAAACAGAGAACCCCTTGTAAGCCACTTGGAAGTTTAAAAATAAAATTTTAAATTTCCCGCCAAGCAAGTTTGGAATTCGCAAGTAGCGCCATCCAGCGGTGGCAGCAGGAACTACACTCGGTCGGTAAGGTAGAACACCCCTTTAAACCCACTTGAAAGTTAAAAAATAAAATTTTAAATTTCCCGCCAAGCAGGTTTAAATTCGCTAGTGGCGCCATCTATCGGTGGCAGCCGGAACTAACTCGGTCGGTAAAACAGAGCACCCCTTTTAACCCACTTAAAGCTATGAAAATAAAAATTTAAATTTCCCGCCAAGCACATTTGAATTTGCTAGTGGCGCCATCTAGCGGTTTAAGTTTAAATTAACTCGGTCGGTAAAACAGAGAACCCCTTGTAAGCCACTCGAAAGTTTGAAATTAAATTTTTAAATTTCCCGCCAAGCAAGTTTGAATTCGCTAGTGGCGCCATCTAGCAGTGCCAGCAGGAACTACACTCGGTCGGTAAAACAGATTCCTACCTTATCGGCTGAGTCAAGATTTCTGTCAGGTCCCTACCTTACCGACTGATGATAAAGTAGAAATCTACATTACCGACCGTAGGTACTTAGCCGAGATCAGAACCTGCCCCAGAACCCCCCTAGCTATACTACTTTTTAGCAAAAACCTAATTCTAGAAAATATAATATAGTCGGATATACACTTACCGATAAGAATTCCTCCGTCCATATTTTCAACATATTTTTCGGCTGAAAAAATTTGTTTCACATTAAAATAGTTACTATGTAATGTAATTTAAAGAGGAAAATGTATATTTTATAATATTTAATGAGAAATGCAGGGCTCGAACCAGTGAAAGTATTTTAAAAATACGGACTTTACGGACCAAAAAAATTAAAAATTACAGACCAATTATTACTGACAAAAATATAAACAGTCCGAGTCAAATAAAAGAACATTTTACTTAAAACTGTAAATTAAATTTTTTTCATAATTATAAAACATGAAGAAATCGATAACACCGAGTCGAAGACTCGGAGTGATCGACTTCTTCATGTTTTATAATTAAAATGACCGAGTGATAAAATCATTATCAATTCAATTATTATTTTCAAGAATTTTTAACTAATATTCTTCTTTAAATCGATTATTTTTAAAAATTTTCGAAAAAGTTCTTTGATAATTTTCAAATCCATTTCTTTACAGTTTACAATATTCAATTTTACGAAATTTCAATTATTATTCATAAATTCTTCAATTAAATATATACAGGCTTCATAGTGCCTCTAAAAAGTATTTTGGGGGAAATAGGGGACTGAAAATTAAAAAATAGGGGACTTTTAGGGAACCATGAAAATTGGTTAAATAAAGATAAAAATATAATTTATTTATACAGGGTTGCCACAAAAATTTAACTTCATTTTTCCCTGATTTCCAAACACAACTTTGACTTTTATTTTTCCCTGACCCTAAAGAATATTCTGATTCACTCTAAAAACTATTAGATATTCAAAAAATGTTCTACTAAATTTATTTACAAATTTCTTTAAAAGTAAAGTTATTCGAAAACATCAATAGTTTTATTTAAAATAAATATTTAATCATTTCTTTTTCATTGGAATTAAGGTGTTCAAAAATTTCAAATTTAAACCTTTTCAAATTGAACAACTCATAATTAATATTAAAGATGACCGACTGACAAAATCATTATTTTATTATTATAAGAATATTGTTACTGTAATTTCTTCAAAATTATTTGTTTCATTTCAATTCAATTAACATTTTCTAGAATTTTTAACTAAAATTCTACTTTAAATCAATAACATCATTATTAAACATTTTCAAAAAAATTAATTCTACAGAATTGTTAGTTAAAAGTACGAAAAACAATCATTTAATTCTACGAGAAATCAATTATTTAAATACAAAAATAAATAATATTGAATGTTTCTTAAAATTTAATTTTTACGAAGAATTGTATTAACAACTTTTGAAAATATTTAATTTCTTTTAAGGAATTTAATTAAAATTTTAATGAAATTTATTATATTAAAGAATTTTACAACAATTTTTGAAAATAATTGAAAACTTTTTGAAGAATTTTATTAAATTTTTTAAAAATAATTGAATTCCTGAGAAGAATTTAAATAATAATTTTTGAAAACAATTGAATTCATGAGAAGAATTTTATTAAAATTTTTGAAAATAATTGACTTTTTGAGAAGAATTTTAAAAAAATTTTTGACAATAATTTAATTCTTGAGAAGAATTTCCCTGTCTATTTGTAAAGATAATTTAATTCTTGACGAGAATTTAAAAAAAATTTTGAAAATAATTTAATTTCTGCAAAGTATTTAATTACTTTTCAAAAAAATTGAATTCTTCTGATAAATTTTGACATTTATCAAAATAATTGAATTTTGGAAAAGAATTTTATCAAAATTCCTTAGAATAATTGATTTTATGGGAAGAATTTATGCGATTTTGTTGTTTATCGAGCTAATTGAATTCTTCTGCAAAATTACTTGAAAATTTTTGAAAATAATTGATTTTCTGCGACGAATTAAATGTTATTTATGAAAATATTTGAATTATTGCAACGAATTTTATTGTTTTATTGAATAATTGATTGTTTTTTAAAATTGAATTCTTTCCTCAAGTTTTAATAAAATTTTTAATAATAATTGCATTTTTCTAGGAAGTTTTTAAAAATTTTATTAAAAATATTTGAAATTCTGCGATGAAAATAATTGAATTCGTAAATGAAATTTTATTATTTATGAAAATAATTGAATTTTTTCGTAGAATTGTATCAACAAATTCTTTCTATATAATTAAATCTGTTGATAAATTTTATGAAAATAGTAAATGGTATTTGAAAATTATTGAATTGCAAAAAACTTTTGAAAGTAATTGAACTTTTGCAAAGATTTTTATAAATTTTTAAAAATAATTGAATTTTTGGCGAAAAATTTTGATATTTGTAAAGATAATTGAATTCTAGACGAGACATTCGTGAAAATTTTATAAAAATAATTGAATTCTTGGGATGAATATTGTAACTTATGAAAATAATTGAATTTTGTAAAGAATTTTATTAAAAATTCCTAAAAATTATTGAATTTCTGTGAAGAATTTTGTTATTTATCAAGATAATTGCATTAAAACTTTTGTAATAATTAAATAATATTAAAAAATTCATTCCTGTCAGAAATAGAAAAAATTTTTGAAGGTTTTGTATTAGAATTAGTGGCAGTTTCATAGTTTACGAAGCTAAATTTGGTGTGAATTCATCATTAAAAGATAAAAGAAAAAAATAGGGGAAATTTTGAAAATAGGGTACGTTTAGGGGCCAAAATTAAAAAAAGGGGGCAATAATTTGCAACTTTTACAAAATACATGTTTTTCGTGTTTTTAATTATAATTCTTCTATAAATTAATTATTATAAATAACTTTTGAAAAACTTCTTTAAGAATTTTCAAATTTATTTGTTTACAATTTACAATCTATAAAAAAACGTGAATTAAACATTCTCAAAAAAATTAATTCCACAGAATTGTTAGTTGAAAAAATGAAGAATTCAGATTTTCAAAAATTTCAAATTCAAACCTTTTTGAAAATTCTAATATTCAATTATAATCTAAAATTTTAACTGAAATCCATTTTTAAATCAATTTCTATTAGAAAATTCTACGAGAATTCAAAGAAACTTATTAAAATTTTCAAAAATAATTGAATTTCTGTGAAGAATTTTATGAAAATGTAAAAAAATAATTGAATTCCTGCTAAAAATGATGTTATTTTTTAAAAGAATTGAATGTTCGGGAAGAATTCTGTTATTTATGAAAAGATAGTTGAATTCTTTCCAAGAACTTTTTATTTTGAATTTTTGAAAATAATTGAATTTCGGCAAAGAATTTTGTTATTTATAGAATGATAATTGAATTCTTGTCCAGAATTGTATTAAATTTTTAATAATAATTGAATACCTGCGAAGAAAATTATGAAAAGTTTAAAAAATAATTGAATTCCCAAAAAGCATTGTACTATTTATGAATATAATTGAATTCCTGAGAACGATTTTATTCGAAATTTTTAAAATAATTGAATTTCCAAGAAGAAATTTATTACTTTTAAAAATAATTGAATTCTTGTAATGATTTTTATTGTTTGTAAAAATGATTGATTCCCTACGCAGAATTTTATTATTTTGAAAGTATATTGAATTCTGGCGAAGAATATTATTACTCTTGAAAATAATTGAATTACTGCAATAATTTGTAACTTTTTCAAAAATTAAATTTTTTCGTGTTTTTAACTATAATTCTTCTATACTTAAATGAATTATTTTTAATAATTTTTGAAAAACTTCTTTAAGAATTTTCACATTTATTTTTCTACAATTTACAATCCACAATTTCAAAAAAAAAGCAATTAAACTTTGTCAAAAACATTAATTCCACAGAATTGTTATATAATCTAAAATTTTAACTGAAATCCATTTTTAAATCAAATTTTATTAGTAAATTCTACTAGAATTCAATTATTTAAATACAAAAAATCATTTATGAAATAATTGCATGTTTCTTAAAATTGAATTCTTTTGACGAATTTTAATAAAATTTTTAAGAATAATGACATTTTTCGAGAATTCTGATTAAAAATGTAATAATATTGTAATTGAAATTTTGTAATGAATTTCATTATTTATGAAAATAATTGAATTCCTAACAAGAATTTTATTATTTACAAAAGTAATTGAATCCCTGTAAAAATATTTTATTATTTATGAAAATAATTGAATGATTGCGAAGAAATTTATAAAAAAATTTTTAAATAATTGAATTTCTTTAAAAATTTTTATTATTTATGAAAATAATCAAAGGTTTGCTTAGAATATTATTAAATTTTTTTCAAATAATTGAATTATTTTATTAAAATAGTTGATATTAGAAATCATTGAATTGAAGAAAATATTTGAAAATAATTTAAATTTTGCCAAGAATTTTATGAAATTTTTTGAAAATAATTGAATTTCTGCGAAGAATTTTGATATTTATAATTATAATTGAATTCTTGACAAGAATTGTATTACAATTTTTAAAAATAATTGAATTTCTTGGAAGAATTTTGTAAAAAAAAAATTTTAATACTTGAATTCCTATACTACGAATTTTGTCCTTTATCGAAATAATTGAATTCTTACGAAGAATTTTGTTATTTATAAAAAAAATTGAATTCATGTCAAGAACTTTATTAAAAGTTTTGAAAATAATAAAATTTTACGAAGAATTTTATGATAAATTTTGAAAATAATTGCATTCCTGATGCTAAAAATGTTATTTTTGAAAATAATTGAATTTTTGAGAAGAATTTTATAAAAAATATTTAATAATAATTGAATTCCTGCGAAGAACTTTGTTCATTATGATAATAATAAATTAATAATTTAATTATTCTGAAGAATTTTGTTCTTTGTCAAGATTTTTGTTATTTACTCTTTATGAAAGTAGGGGAGTTATTACGAAGAATTTAAAAAAAAATTTATAAATAATTGAATTCCTGTGAGATTTTTATTGCTTATTATAAAAATAGTTAAATGTTTACGTAGAATTTTATTAAAAAATTTTTTGAATAATTGAATTCTTTTGGAAAATTTTATTAAAATGGTAGATATTAAATTGAGGGAAATTTTTGAATATAATCTAAATTTTGCCAAGAATTTTATTAAAATGAAATTTATTTTTGAAAATAATTGAATTTCGGAAAAAAATAAATTGAATTATTTCTAAAGATAATTAAAATTTTGACGAGAATTTAAAAAAAAATTTTGAACATAATTGAATTTCTACGAAGAATTTTATTACTTTTGAAAATAATTGAATGTCTGCAATCATTTCTAACTTTTTTAAAATTTCCAAAATTTTATCGTATAATAGAGCTGTCCAGCTTGACATCATTTTGGGAACCATGTGGTATTTTAGCGTAGATTTTTATTTTATCAACATTGATGTAAATATATAAATACATTTATTTACAACATATATATTCGTCGGTAAAATAAAAATCTATGCTAAATTACCACTTGGTTCCCAGAATGACGTCACACTGGACTGCTCTATTTACGAAGTTTTCGTCTTTTTTCAATCAAATTACGGACTTTACGGACCTTTTTTAAAAAAAACTGACTTTTACGGACTTGAAGCAAATTTACGGATTTTTACCGGATTTACGGACCTAGTTCGAGCCCTTGGGAATGCAAAAAAAAAGTGTTTCAATTTATTTGATGAATAAAATACTTAATAATAATAATTTAGTCTATTATTCATTCTAGAGCCATTGTTTGAAATTCTTATGATTAAAAGTATGTTTTTGTTGAAATGGACAAAGTTTATTTTCGTCAATCTTTCATGTGTAAATGTGAGTTTGGTCCGAAATAATACTTATATACAAACATGAGAAAACCACAGGTGTTTCTGTGTCACTTGTTTTCCGACAATTGAGTGTAGAAAATAAAGTGCATTCTTAATTAGCCGAGGCATACTTCAATGACAATAAGAGATTCTAGAATGAATACTTTTCAAATATTTTTATATTACTATTATGGTAATTAAAAAAAATAAATTATTTATAATTATAACTTGATTGTACCTACAATTTGTACATATTGTACACGACATACGTCAAATAAAATATATTTATGAAAAGAAGGAAAATTTTTCATTGAAATAACATCTCTCAGGGTATTATTTCGTAAAAAGTTTTTACTTGAGAAACAAACAAAAATTATCTTTAAAGTGTGCGATATTAATGATAAGGTGATTTAAAATTTAAGACATTATCTAAAAATATAATAACTGCATTCTTTCTATTTCTCGAAATAATTAAAGTTCTTGTTTCAAATAATATTTTTCAATTATAAAACTTAATTATTAGCTCTACACAGTAAGCAAATATGTTTGACAACATAAACACTAATATGCTGACCTTTTTCATTAATAATTAAAATAACAAGTTTACAAGAATTTATTTTTCTTTTCGCTAATAGCAAGAGTACAATTTGAATTTTCGCAAATGAAAATTAATAATCAGTATTACTAATTACTAATAATACTATTAATATAAATTATATTAATTATCCAGTGTAATCCTGATTTCAGGGCTCGGATTGTGCGACTTTATCGACTTTTTTCGACTTTTTTGTGAAAAAGTTTGAGTCAAAAAAATGTTCTGATACATTTATTTACAAATTTCTTTCAAATTTTTCGAAAACATCAATAACTTCTTTTTTAAATAAATATTTAATTATTATTTTTCAAAAGATTCAAATTCAAACCTTTTTGAAATTAAGCAACTTATAAAAAATTGTTATAAAACATGAAGAAATCGATCACTCCGAGTCTTCGACTCAGAGCAATCCATGTCTTCATGTTTTATAATAATTTAAGAGGATCGAGGGTTAAAATCATTATTTTATATTATATAAGACTTTATAAAAAAAAAATTTTTAATTATTTTTTATGAAAATACTTGAATTATTGTGAAGAAATTTATAAAACATTAGTAAGTAATTGAATTTTGATATTTACAAAGATAATTGAAATTTTGAGGAGAATAATTAAAAAAAATTTTTTGAAAATAATTTAATTTCTGCCACGAATTTTTTTGCTTTTGAAGATATTTGAATTTTGCAAAGAACTTTATCAGAACTTTTGAAAATAATTAAATTTCCAAGATGAATTTTATTATTTATGAAGATAATTAAAATTTTGAAGAGAAATTTAAAAAAAAATTAAAAATAATTGAATTTCTAGGATGAATTTTAATATTTATAAAGATAATTTAAATTTTGACAAGAATTTTATTAAAATTTTTGCAAATAATTGAATTTCAGAGAAGAATTTTATTACTCTCAAAGATAATTGAAATTTCGAACAGATTTTTTTAAAAATGTTTAAAAGTAATTGAATTATAGCAGAAGAATTTTGATATTTATAAACATAATTGAAATTTTGAGAAAAATTTTGAAAATAATTGAATTTCTAGAATGAATTTTATTATATTTATAAAGATAATTTAAATTTTGACAAGAATTTTATTCAAATTTTTGCAGATAATTGAATTTTAGAGAAGAATTTTATTACTCTCAAAGATAATTGAAATTTTGAACAGATTTTTTTAAAAATGTTTAAAAGTAATTGAATTATAGCAGAAGAATTTTAGTATTTATAAACATAATTGAAATTTTGAGAGTAATTAAAAAAAAATTTTTTAATTAATTTAATTTCTGCCAAGAATTTTCTTACTTCTGAAGATAATTGAATTTCTAGAACGAATTTTATTATTTATAAAGATAATTGAAATTTTGACAAGAATTTTATTAAAATTCTTTGCAAATAATTTAATTTTAGAGAAGAATTTTAATAATATTATTCACAAAGATAATTGAAATTTTTAACAGATTTTTTTTTTAAAGTAATTGAATTTTGCAGAAGAATTTTGATATTTATAAACATAATTGAATTTCTTTAAAGAATTTTCGTACTTTTGAAGATAATTGAATTTTGCAAAGAATTTCATCAGAACTTTTGAAAATAATTAAATTTTTATGCGATGAATTTTATTATTTATAAATTTTTGACGAAAAATTAAAAAAAAATTTTTGAATATAATTGAATTTCTGCGAAGAATTTTGTTACTTTTGAAAATAATTGAATTTCCGAGAAGAATTTTATTAAAATTTTTTTTAAAATTGAATTTCGGAGAAGAATTTTATTGTTTATAAAAATAATTGACATTTTAAAGAGAGTTTTTTAAAAAATTGTTAAAAATATCTAATTAAAATTTTGCTATGAATTTTATTATATTTTTTAAATTTTATTCCGGATTGTTTGATATTAATGTTTATGTTGTCGAGAAATGTGATTTTTTTACAATTTTGTGTTTTCTTTTTGTCGTTTTTTTCTAAGATTTCATGCGACTTTTTCGGAAATTTTATGCGACTTTTCGTGACTTTTGTTGTAAATTTATGCGACTAAAGCGACTTTTTTTTGAGTCTTAAAGACGATCCGAGCCCTGTGATTTCTAATTTTCTTTTTGAAAATAATGCAATATTATTAATTACTGGATGGAATCACTAAAAAATTAATAATCAGTATTTTAGCAACTTTTTTTTATGACAATGAAAAGTTTCACTCGTTCAAAAAGACCGGCATTAGCTTAATCAAATCGTTTCGAACCGGTTTTGATCGAGTTCGTACGCACTCGATTGTCGTTCAAATTCATTCATGAATAGCGCGCCGACTATTAAAAAAAATGCACGCAGAGTATTTAAAAACGGCAAATAAGCATTTCAATTTCAACCAAGAACGATTTCAACAAAAAGATACTTTTTTTGATTCAACTCGAAAAATCCTATCCTATCAATAACTCTATGTAAAGACCAAATATAATCGTTCTGATAAGAGAAAGGAATGATAAAATAAAAGAATAATTAAAACAATTGTCTTTGTCTTTTTTTTCCATAAAATCAGCACTTACCTCTTCAAAAATACTACCGACATTGGCGGTAATAAGAACGACAGGAAGACCCGCCATTCTTAACAAAATTATTTTCTTTTTCTTTTATTGGCGAGAAGGCGAGAATCGGACAGACACCTGCCAAAAATCCTGCCCTGAACGGAGGATTCACAGTTTTATATATAAATAATAATAATAATTAATCCGTGTTGTCGCACGCTTTGACACCAGCACTCAACTGACAAGCAGAAGTGAACACCAACAGCACAAGTTCACAATTGTACGGACACAACCGAGTCAGAAAATTACCCCCTTCACGTCCCTTGGCAGCACAACAATGAGGGTCAGCGACAATTGATTCAACCCCCGTGCCGAAAATTGGCCACGGTCGTGATCCGCACCTTGCTGGCATCTAGTCTTGTACTGCAAATACACATTAACCAAATAATACGATCGCTGGCGTACGAGAAAAGTTGTATGTGTTAAATATATCGGTTCGAGTGAAACCACGCCTACTGAAGACGTCAATAGGCAGTGCCGTAATTCACAGATACGCATGGGTATACGATTTTCCCAAGGCCCTATTTTTACATTGTAAACAAAATCAACTTCTTCAGCTCTCAACTTCTTCATTTAACAATCAACTTAATCAATTTCAATTTAGAACAAAAATTACTCATTTTTCATTATTTTTTTTTTAAATCAATTATAGTATACCTACTATGAATAAGTTTTTTATTTATTTACAGTCAAACTGTAAAAAGCTTTTTTATAACGATTTATAAAATTGTTTTTAATTTTTCAGTCATTCCTGAATAAGAGAAAACTGTCTTTGAGTCTTTGTCTCTATCTAAATTTGAATACAGTACGCGCGAATTCGTTTGCACCAATTGGGATAGAAGTTCACTATATAATTTTTAGTAGAAAATTATTACATACTGTGAATAATTTAATAATTTACTAACTTTATAGAGGAAAATTATACAAATTAACTGTAATAATTTGAATGTTCTTTCATTCATTCATTCACTTTTTCTGTCCCTCACACTCTGAAGTTGTCTTTTGTTTATAATTTTGTTATTTATTATTAACTTTAGACAGATTGTATATTATATTAATGTTATAATTATTTTTATTATAAAATTAATCCAAAATTGTAATGACAAATAGAAATCATCAGAATTTTTTTCACTTCTTTTCATTACAGGGTTGCCACGCTTTTTCTCATTTCACAATTCCCTGACTTTTCCAGGTTTTCCAGGTTAAAAAACGTAATTTTTCCAGGTTTTTAAAACTACATTTATATTTTACAAAATTTTGTTTTTAATTTTATTCTTAATTTTACCAAACTCCCTGATTTTCAGACAAAACGACTTTTTTCCTGTTCTATTACATTTATTTACGAATTTCTTTAATTGTAAATTTACTCAAAAACATCAATAACTTCCTTTTTAAATGAATATTTAATCATTATTATTTTTTTACAGAAATTAAAATTTTCAAAAATTTTAAATTCAATTATACCTACATATAATAATTAAAACTTGATACCATCATTATTTTATATTATAAAAATATTGTTACTGTCATTTCTTCAAAATTATTTTCATTTCAATTCAATTCTTCATTTCCATAATTTTAAACTAAAATTAAATCAATAAAAAATCAATTAATCAATTAATCAATTTTTTAAAATAATTTTTGAAAAAGTTCTTCTTTGAGAATTTTTAAATCCATTTGTTTACAGTTCAGTTTTACCTAAACTTTCGATTATTCTGACATTCTTCAATTAAATAAATTAGAAATTAAAAACTTGAAATAATTAAAAAAAATTTCCATTTAACTTTTTTAAAAAATAACTTCTAGAGAATTGTTAATTAAAAGTATGAAAACTTCAAATTTTCTAAAAGATTTTTTGATTTGAATTTTAACTGAAATTCATTTTTAAATCAATATTTACTAGAAAAATCCACGAGAATTCAATTATTTAAATACAAAAATAAATATTTTATTAAATAATTGAATGTTTCTTAAAATTGAATTTTTTATAAAGACAAAAAACAAAAAAAAAAAAAAAAAAAAAAAAATTTTTAAATAATTTAATTCTCTTGACAAATTTTAATAAAATTTTTAAGAATAAGTTTATTTTCCGGCTATTTGATTAAAATTTTATTAAAAATAATTTAATTTCTCCAAAGAGAAAAGAGTTTTTAAAACTTTTTTTTTTATAAGAGTTTTTGAAAATAATTGAAATTTTGCCAAGAATTTTATTAATGTTTTTGAAAATATTTACAAAGTTGAAGTCCACAACGTTTATCAACGAAAGAAATTTATTTAATACATTCAAGTATTATTTTTAATTTAATATTTAATTGTAAAATAATTATTAGCAAAATATGAACATCAATCTTTCTTTCTAAATATTTTTGTGTCAATATTGCTGCGTCATTTTTAATTAATTTACTAAGTGAACAATTTTTTTTCGTTGATCAACGTTGTGGACTTCAACTTGGTAAATATTTGAATTTCGGAGAAAAATTTATAAAGATTATTGAAATTTTGACGAGAATTTTTGTAAATTGTTGAACACAATTAAATTTTTGCGAAGAATTATATTACTTTTGAAAATAATTGAATTCTTGAGACGAATTTTATTAAAATGTCTTTTTAAATAATTGAATTTCTAAGAAGAATTTTACTAATTTGAAAAATAATTGAATTTATGCAATCATTTGTAATTGCTTTAACATTCAATTTCTTTTAGTGTTTTTAATTAAAATTCTTCTATAAATCCATTATTTTTAGTAATCAATTAAAAATATATATATATTAAAAAATTTAACTAATTTCAGAAGAATTGGAATAATTAAATTTTCTCAAAAATTTACGTTCTTTAAGACAATTTCTAGTTAAATTCATTCAAAATTGAAATTTTACAAAATTTCAAATTAAAATCTTTTGAAATTCATCTGTACTTATGGAAATTGTAAACGTAACTTTTTTAAAATTTAATTAATTTTGGAATATCTATGTAAAATTAGATTTCAAGAATAAACTTTAGAAAATAACAATTTTTTCAGGATTTCGATCAAAATTTCCTAACTTTTCTAGGTTTTTTCAAGGTTTATGAAATTCCCTGACATTTCCAGGTTTTCCAGGTTTCCAGGTTGCGTGGCAACCCTGCATTAAAAGACTAAAATTTTCTTTACTTCTATAAACAAAATTAGAAAATTGCTGAACAACTGTGATTGAGAAATAGAAAATTTATTTATTTTGCATTATTTTTGTTTATGAATCACAATTTTTTCAACAAAATTATTATTTTGTTTTAGAAAAAGAGGAAAAATATTTGCACAATTCCTATTTTTAATCTTATTTTTGGAACAGGATTTTCCACAGGAATTAAGACATTAAAAAATTTCAAATTCGAACCTTTTTTAAATGAAACAACTACTAAATGTATTTATTATAAAACATGATTTCTTCATGTTTTCTAATAATTAAAGATGATCGAGAGATAAAATCATTATTTTATATTACAAGAAGATTGTTACTGTAACTTCATCAAAATTATTTTCATCATTTTAATTCAATTATTATTTTCTAGAATTTAAAATTATTCTTTATGAAAATAATAATTGGATTCCTTAAAAAAATTTTATTATTTATGAAAATAATTGAATTGCAGTCAAATTTTTATTATTTATGAAAATAATTAAATGTTTACGTAGAATTTTATTAAAAATTTTTTTAAATAATTGAATTCTTTTTGGGAAATTTTATTAAAATAGTAGATATTGAAAATCATTAAAATTAGAAAATTTTTTGAAAATTATTGAAATTAGGACAAGAATTTTTTTGACGTTTATGAAAATAATTGAACTTTTGAGAAGAATATTTTGTTATTTATAAATATAATTGGGATTTTTACGAGAATTTTTTAAAAATTTTGAACATGGTTGAATTTTATTTATTTTTTTTTTTTTTAAAATAATTGAATTTCTGCAATTATTTGTAATTTCTCCAAAATTGAATTTTTTTTTAGTGTTTTCAACAAAAATTTAAATTAGAAAATTTTAAAATTCTATTATTTTTAAAATTGCTAATTTTATTTTAAAAAGGTAGTAAGAAGTTAGCCGCGCGTTGTAGCGCGCAAATTATTGCTAGTTTCATAGTAAAATTAATTAACTATAATAATCTTCGTATTTTATTCTTTCATTCATTCTGTCTGTCCACACACTTTGAAGTTATAGTTTTTTGTATATGCTTTTATTTTTTATTGTTTAGAAAATATTGTTTGACAAATCGAAAATATGCAGGTATTTTTCATGATTTATAATAAAATATTTGAAATTAGAAAATTTTAAAAAAATTATGATAAACAAATAAATTTTGTTTTTTCTAACAAATTTTGTTTGATTGATCTAAATTATGCAAATTTCTTTCCTTTTTATTTATAAAAAATATTAGAAAATTGTTAATTATTAAGAAATAGGAAATACTTATATCAATTTTATGCATAATTTTTAATTCTCAATAACAATATTGTGTTCACAAACTGATTCTTTTCTTTGGGAAAAAAAACATTACATTATTCCCGTTTCTTAATATTTTTGTAGAAAATTCTCAATTTTCATAAAGAAATAATTTGCATCATTTCAATTTCTTAATGACAATAATTGCTTCAATAAAATTCAAAGTTTTTTTAAAAATTAAGGGAGAAAATGTTTATAAATTCTATATTTGTCAATTGTAAATTTTAATTGAAAACGAAATTGAAAATTTTTAAATTTTTAGAAAATAAAGGAAAAAATTTTACTCAAAAAAATGTTCTATTACATTTATTTACAAATTTCTTTAATATTGTAAAATTATTCGAAAACATCAATAACTTCTTCTTTAAATAAATATTTAATTATTATTGTTTTTCCACAGGAATTAAGATTTTCAAAAATTTTAAATTCAAACCTTTTTGATATTAAACAACTTATAAAAGTATTATCATTATTTTATATTAAGAATATTGTTTATTTATTTATTCATTCATTGTTACTGTAACTATTTTTAATAATTGAATTCTTTTAACAAATTTTAATCATTTTTAAGAATTATTACATTTTTTGAGGAATTCGATTAAAATTGTATTAAAAATAATTAAAATTAAAATTTTTAAAAAAATTTATTATTATTGATAATAATTAAATGTTTGCGTACAATTATTTTATTAAAATTTTTTTTAAATATGTAATTGAATTCTTTTCAGAAATTTATTAAAATAGTATAGATATTGAGAATCATTGAAATGAGAAAAATTTTTGAAAATAATTGAAATTTTGACAAGAATTTTATTACTTTTGAAAATAATAGAATTTATGCAATCATTTGTAACATCACCAAAAATCAATTTTTTTTAGTGTTTTTAACTAAAATTCTTCTATAAATCCATTATTTTTAATAGTTAATTAATAAAAAATGTAACTACTTTCAGAAGAATGTGAATTATTAAAATTTTTTAAAAATATAGTAATTTTTAAAATTTCCAATTAAATTCATTAAAAATTCATATTTTCTAAAATTTCAAATTAAAACCTTTTGAAGTTGATCTATTTATGAAAATTGTAAACGCATAACTCTTTGAAAATTGAATTAATTTTGAAATATTTAAGTAAAATTATTCATTAAATAATAATTTTATGATATATAATTACAATAAGATCTGAACTTACCCGGGTTCCATCCATCCATCAAGCCCCGGCCCGGGGCACGATGGTCAACTGATTCTTACGTTTACGATTAAGGTTATGTTTCTATTTTGCTTTGGGCCCTTTGATGGGCTTTGGCCCACATTTCTTATGGGTTAAAATTTCCAAAACCATATGTCTTACGTAATTTATGGACTTCCCCTGAACTTGTGTGCAGGGTTGGGCACGTAAAGTACTTCAGGTACATTACGTGGTTTTTCTACAGTAAAATACCTCGTATTTTTTAATTTTGTCTTTATACACAATCGTCATGTATTTTTTTGGGGAGGGCAGGGTTGGGCGCGTAAAATACCTCAGGTAAATTACATGGATTTTTACAGTAAAATACCTCGTATTTTACTTCAAAAGTTTTATACACAATGTATTTTTTGGGGGAGGGGGGTAAAATACGTATTTTACCTATGTAAAAAACCAAGTATTTTACGTCAAAAACCTCGAGTGACGCGTCACTTCCCAACACTGGGGGAGGGGGATAAAAGACGTATTTTACCTCCCACCAGCACAATAAAATGCATTGTGTTTAAAATTGTTGAGGTAATTTACGTACGTAATATACGTAAAAAAAACCATGTAATTTATGTGACGTATATTAATTACGTGTGCAACCCTGATTTTACAGCTATAAGTATATACACTGTAAAAAAATCTGGTGTAAATTTACTATGTCCGACGTTGGAAAGTTTGGTCACTATGTCCGACGTGGTATTTTTACACGCCGACTGTAATCTACATAACCTGCAAATATTTTTTGAAATAATATTTTCAGTCGTAACTTTTTGTATTTATGAAATATTGCCCAAAACTTTTTGTAATATTATTATTTACTTATAAATTAGCATATTATACTTTCTATAAATGTACATTATATACACTTTTTTAGAGTTATTTATAAAAACTTGAAAATTTTTTGAAAATTTTAAAGGAATAAGAAAATTACATTCGCCATGTAATTATACAGATCGTGCGACGTAATATTACGTCAAAGTGTAGAAATACACGCAATGTAAAAATACCACGTCGGACATAGTGATCAAATTTTCCTACGTCGGACGTAGTAAATTTACACAAAACTATTAAATTACATAGTCGTATAATGTAAAATTATTAAAAATAGTAAAACTACTTTTGGAACGAAATAAATTTACTACGTACAACCTATAATTTTGATGTGTGAAATTACAAGTTTCGTGTTATTTTACACCAGATTTTTTTACAGTGTATGTACTATATATGGGGCAAAACATATAATTATGGGACCTTGAAAATTTTTGAAGTTGAAAATAATATTGTAAATAATTTTTTTTATCACCAGCTTGTAGATCGTGAAAAACCCTTTAAAAATCACTATTCATACTTTTAATTTGGTTATAATTTTACTTATCAATATATTAAATCGAAAAAAATGATATTTTCAAAAAAGTCAAAATTTTGAAACTCCATAACTCAAAAAATATTTTATCAAATTCAAAAAAAAATTTATATGTACACTTCTACTAATAATAGTAACATTTTAACAAAGTTTCGAGAAAACTCAACAACATAAATATTTTTTGACCTGGACAGTATAAAGTTGAGGAATTTTGCCCCATATGCATATAGATATATTTTTAAACGAAAAAATTATTTTTCTTAAAGAAATACTTCAAAATTAAGTAGTAAAAATAAAAATGTTGAGTTGCTAATTTTATTTAAATATAAAAACACATGTTTTAATAATTTTCTGATGTTTTAAATTTGTATTTTATGACCATTGAATTTCTTGCAAAAAGTTATACATACTAATATATAAAAATAATTTTGTCAATTTTTTGTCTAATTGAAGATCTTAATGTATTCAAAAATTTAGCCAAACCCATCCATATACGAAATTTTTGTTTGTTTTTGGTCTTTTGGAGAAATATTAATTCATAAAAATTGTTGTCAAAAAGGAAAACACTCCTGCATTCGTAACCTATAAGACCGGCGCAGACGCATCTCGAGGAAATTGGTTTCTGGGGTTTCTGGTCTGGAGGTCGATGATATCAACAACAAATTTTGTAGGTAGAATATCTTCATGTTCTTACATTAAAATAGGTCTCATTATGACCGTAAGAAAGTTTTGAATTACATTAATGCGCTAAACAATCTTTTCACTTTACCGAACGAACGATCGATATAATCAGGTAACTTGTTTATATGCTCATTATTTTTTCTACTTTACAAAGTAATAATATTATACCTCTATCATGTCTTAACCTGTCAGAGTGTCAGGAAGCAAGTTCCTTAAGTCTGTGTCGTCTGCTATGTTTCAAAAATATTATTTTAACTCTAATCTGCTTATAATCTTTCTCGAATAATGTCAATTTTTAGAATCATAATTTATACATTGGAATAAAATTCAAGTCTTTTGGTAGATTCTTGATTATTAATGTTTGTTTCTTAGTAATAAATTTTTTATTAATAATTATCGTTCTTTATCAGGAAAAAATTAATAATATAATAATTGTGATTATACATTTCTCAATAAAAAATCTATTCTGGACAGTCATTTAAAAAAACTTGTTTGTAACATTCTATCTAAATAAAGTCTAAAACATTTAAATTGCTTTTAGCAAGTATTTAAAAGCAGTTCTAATGTTTAAACAAGTTTTAAAATAAAAACAGTTTGTTATTGTTTTCAGCTGTTTAAAATGACAAAACACATATTACTAACTTTCGTTTTGCTGTCTTTATGGAGCATCGTTAGCACTGAAAACATCTTAACGTCTCAGGTGTTCGTCATTCCGATATCTCCTGATATTTTTGGGTGGAATATGGAAGGTAAGGCGTGTTTTTTTATTTTTTCTTTTTTTATGTTTTATTATAACTAATTTCAATTCTTTCACACTTGCAAATATATTTCAGGTTTTTATACACGTCGATTTTCTTATCAATCATCACTACTTAATGCACCAGATTTACCATCATGGATTCATTATGTCTATAGTGAAAGAGCTCGACAAGGATATTTGTATGGAGTTCCTCCAAGAAGTCAACAAGATTTTAAAGTAAATAATTAAGAAATCCTTATTTTTGCAACATTAATCTCTAAAGTTCATTTTTATACACAGGAAACAATGAGTAAGTTCTTTTTTTTCTAATAATATATACACAGGGCTCGAACCAGTGAAAGTATTTAAAAATACGGACTTCACGTACCAAAAATGAAAAATTACGGACCAATTGCTGACAAAAATATAAGCAGTCCGAGTCAAATAAGAGAACATTTTACTTAAAACTAGAAATTCAATTTTTCATAACTATAAAACATGAAGATATCGATAACTCCGAGTCGAAGACTCAAACTGGTCGATTTCTTCATGTTTTATAATAATTAAAGATGACCGAGTGATAAAATCATTTACAATTCAATTATTACTTACAAGAACTTTTAACTAAAATTCTTCTTTAAATCGATTATTTTTAATAATTTTAGAAAAAGTTCTTTGACAATTATAATTTTCAAATCTATTTCTAATAATTTAAAATTATTATTCAATGATTTTCATAAATAATAACATTTTTTACAGGGATTCAAATATTTTCATAAATTCATAATAAAACTCATCGCAGACTTTCAATTTTTTTAAATTTTTAATACAATTTTAATGGAATTCTTCAAAAAATGTAATTATTCTTAAAAATTTTATTAAAATTCAGCAAAGAAATTCAATTATTTTAAAAACTTTTACTTCCATTTATTTATTACAATTTAAGTTTTATTTTCAATACATTTTTAATTAAATGTCTTCAAAAAATTGAATTATTTTCATAAATAATGAAATTCTTTGTAAGAATGAAATTTTTTTCAAAATAATTTTTATAAAATTCTACGTAGAAATTTAATTAATTTCAAAAATTTGTCTAAATTTAATTATTTTTAATGTCTACTATTTCAATCAGATTTCACAAAAGAATTCAATTATTGAAAAAGATATTTTAATAAAATTCGTCTCAGGAATTCAATTATTTTCAAAAGTATTCTAATTCTTCGCAGAAATTCAATTATGTTCAAAAATTTACAAAAATTCTCGTCAAAATTTCAATTATCTTTATAAAAAATAAAATTCCTTTTCGAAATTCAATTATTTTCAAAAATTAGGTAATAAAATTATTGGCAGAATTTCAATTATTTTTAATAAAATTTTCATCAAATTTCTCAACAAATAAAAGTATTCTTAAAAATTTTATTAAAATTTGCCAAGAGAATTAAATTATTTAAAATTTTTTTTGATAAAATTCTTTATATGAAAATTGTTAATTTATTTTATGAAACCCATTTTTTTGAAGAATTTTAATTTCAATTCTGGTGAAATTTGTTAAATTTTCTAAAATGTAATTAATTATTAAAAATAATGGATTTATAGAAGAATTTTAGTTAAAAACATTTTAAAAATATTAATGAATTTTGAAAAAGTTACAAATAATTGCAGAAATTGAATTATTTTCAAGTTAATAAAATTCTTCTCATAAAATTCAATTATGTTCGATTTTAAATTTTAAAAAATTTCAATTTCGAATGAATTCAATTAGAAATTTTAATGAACTTAGATTTTCGAAAAATTTTAATAATTCAAAATCTTTTAAAATTAGTTAAATTTGTCAATTTATATTTAATTAATTATTAAAAATAATGGATTTATAGAAGAATTTTAGTTAAAAACATTTTTAAAAATATTGGATTTCGGAGAAGTTACAAATCATTGCAGAAATTCAATTATTTTCAAATTAGTAAAATTCATCTCACAAAATTCAATTTTGTTTAAAATTAAAAAAAAATTCTTGTTAAAATCACAGTTACCTTTATAAATAACAAAATTTTTTTTCAAAATTCAATTATTTTCAAAAATTTCAATAAAATTCTTGTCCTAATTTCAATTATTTTCAAAATTTTTCCTTAATTTAATGATTTTCAATTTTTATTATTTTTTTAAATTCCTAAAAAGAATTAAATTCTTTGAAACAAATTTCAATAAAATTCTTCGCAATATTAATTTATTTTCATAAATAATAAAACTCATCACATAATTTCAATTATTTTTAATACAATTTTTATCGAATTCCTCAAAAAATGTAATTATTCTTAAAAATTTGATTAAAATTCGTCAAAAGAATTTAATTATTTGAAAATTTGTTGATAAAATTCTTTAGAAGAATTATATTTTAAGAAACATTTAATTATTTAATAAACTATATTTACTCTTGTATTTAAATAATTGATTTCTCGTAGAATTTTCTATTAAAAATTGATTTAAAAATTAATTTCAGTTCAAATTTTAGATTATAATTGAATATTGAAAGCATTATAGCGTGAATTTTAGAAATAATTGAATTTTGAAAAGGTTTTAAATTAAAATTTTTGAAAATTTGAATTTTTCGTACTTTTAACTAGCAATTCTGTAGAATTAATTTTTTTGAAAAGTTTAATGGAATTTTTTTTAATTATTTAAAGTTTCTAATTTCTAATACATTTAATTGAGGACTGTCAAAATTTCATAAAATTAAATTGTAAAAAAAAAATTTGAAAATTCTCAAAGAACTTTTTTAAAAATTATTTTAAAAAATTGACTTAAAGAAGAATAATTTTAGTTGAAAATTCTAGAAATGAATAATCGAAATAAAGAAAATAATTTTTGAAGAAGTTACAGTAACAAAGTAGCAAGTTTTATAATAAAATATTCTTTTATGTTATTGCTTTCTAAATTTTAAAATTTTTAGAATTTTAGAATTTTTTTTGCTTTTCTAAATTCTTTTTGAATTAGTAAAAATCTTTACTAATTTGAATATTTTCGAATAATTTTCGTATTAAAAACCTGGAAAATTTCCGTTTTTTAACCTGGAAAACCTGGAAAAGTCAGGGAATTTGAAAAGAACAAAAGCGTGGTAACCCTGTTTAAGAAAATTGTTTTTGAGGTTCGTTGTCGAGAAAAAAGTCCTTATGAAGAGAATTCCGTTTGAATTTTTAATTTATGTAAAATAAATTGCCCCATTGCTATGTAACATAGATCTGGAAAAAAGAAAATTAATGTGTAGAATTTTTTAATGTCATTTAATATAATTTGAATGAAATTGCCAAACAATGCGTAATTGAAATTGCAGCTGGAAATCATTGGCTTAGATAAAAAGACTTACGAGACGAAAAACAAGATCTTAGATTTAAAAATCCTGGAAAATGAAAATCTGACCAAGTATGAAATACAATTGAAAATAGACAATCTAAATGTGGAGGATATGTTGGATTCAAAAAGGGTAGATGAACTCCTTGATGTATTCAGGTTAAACAAAATTTTTTCTCTATTTTCTAGGTCTTTGGTTTCTTGACTTTTGTGGCTCAGCTCATAGATATATATTTTTAGAAAGAAACTTTGGAAAGAAGCCGCAGACTTGCAACTGACTTTTTTGGTATCGGCAGTGGAACTTGGTGCTCGGTTGCCACTCCAACCTGGTGAAGGCGAAGGGTAGGAATAAAGATGAAATTTTTAATAAACATTTAACGGCAACAAGTGGATCAATGCATTTTATTTCGACTAAACTGGCCACCGACTAATTTTAAAAAATTGTAATACTATGGAATATTTAGTGTTTTAGACAATAAGTCACCTTGCACATGAGTAGGCAAAAGGGGTTGTAAAATATCAATTTAAATTCATAGTTTACAATAAATATATAAATTGCTTTTTAATCTTTTCATTTTTAGATTTTGAAAATATGAAAATCATTCCTGCAAAGTACAAAATATTATAATTTTTTTAAATTAGTTGTCTACCAGATTAGTCAAAATAATATGGATTAACCCAAGTGTATTTTTGGTTAAGGGAAAATGTCATACTTTACAGAAAATTATTTTTTTTATTCATTTGTGTTTTACGTATTTATTTATAAACTAGCGACATATACCTCACTCGCTAACGCTCGTTCGATTGTATTTAAACTTATTTGTTTTTACTTATTTATTTTTATTTATTTGAACTAAGTAAATATTTTAATTTATGGTATCAAATAAATAGTTATTTGAACCAAATACAAATTACTTAAGTCAATTAAATAGAATAATTTGATCTAATAAATATTGCTTTAAATCAATTATGAAAATTACTTGATTCAATAATGCATAGTTTTTAATTAAAATAAATATTTATATTTGCATCAATAAAATAATTTTTTTGAAATAACTAAACTTAGAAGGTTAGGTTTTGAATGTTAGCCTGATTCTCTGGATAATTAGTAAGAAAAGGGCGAAGATACGTCTATTCTTTTCTTACTAATAGGATTTTCTGTAATGTCGGTCGTTCTCTAACTTAATATAATAGAGTGGATTACTATATCCGCAAGCGAGAATGTTGTATAACACTGTTTATTCTAAACTTTTTGCAGGCATTTTTTTATTTATATTTCCATATATTTTGTCATACAATATTTGACATCAACTAAATTAAAAAAAAGTCCGACAAACTTTATTAAAACGGTACCTAATAAAATACCTAAAAATACCTTTTTACTGTAGAACCTCCTTAAGGAGTTATGACACTCTAAAGGATAAAAACTAAGAATTTTTTTTTTTTCTTAAAAATAAAAAAAAAAAATTTCTTTCTTCTTTAAACTATGAAGTCAATCAAAATTATGATATGAGGACTTTATTGTACATTATTTCAAGGGTAAAAAAAATTATTTATAAAATTTCATATTGATCGATCCGTAAATTTCCTTTAAGTCCGTAAAACTCAGGTTTTTTTTAAAAAAAAGCTCCGCAAAGTCCGTAATTTGATTGAAAAGGGACGAAAAGATCGTAAATTGTACGATATAATTTTGGCAAATTACGTCACGCAAATTTAGACATTTTTCAACCCCCCCCCCCTCCCCTACGTCACATTTTGTTACATAGAAATTGGTAATTTTTACACAGGGTGTCACAAAACTGTAGACCCCCCTCTCCCCTCAGCATGTGACGTAATATATGAATGATCCCTTCGCAGAAATTCAATTTTTTTTTTTTTTTATTCTTCTCTGAAATTCAATTATTTTCAAAATTTATCATTAAATTCTAGCGCAAATTCAATTATTTTTAAAAATTGTAATAGAATTCTTGTCAAGAATTCAATTATCATTATAAATATCAAAAATTCTTTCAAAAAATTCAAAATAACAAATTTTTTAGCAGGAATAATTAAATTATTTTCAAACACTATACATAAAATTCTTTGCAGAAATTCAATTATTTTCAAAAATAACAGAACTTTTAGAAGGAATTCAATTATTTTCAAAATTTATCATAAAATTCTTCGCAAAAATTCTATTATTTTCAAAACTTTTAATAACGTTCTTGACAAGAATTCAAATTTTAAAAAAAATAAACAAAATTCTTTGTAAGAATTCAATTATTTTCATAAAGGATAAAATTCTTAGTATAGAAATTAGATTATTTAAAAATTTTTTTTACAAAATTCTTTGAAGAAATTCAATTATTTTAAAGAATTGTAATATAAAATTCTTATCAAGAATTCAATTATCATTATAAATATTAAAAATTTTCGCAGAAATTCAATTATTTTCAAAAATAACAAAATTTTTAGCATGATACAATTATTTTCAAACACTAAATAAAATTTCTTCGCAGAAATTCAATTATTTTCTTAACTTTTCATAATTTTTTTCGCAGATATTCAATTATTATTAAAATAATGTAATACAATAAAATTCTGAAAAAGAATTCAATTATCGCATTATAAATGCCAAAACTATTTGCAAAAATTCAATTATTTTAAAAAATTTCATAAAATTCTTCGCAGAAATTTAATTATTTTTAAAACATTCAAATAAAGTTCTTGGGCAAGAATTGAAATATTATCTTTTCATAAATAACAGAATTCTTCCTAAAAATTCAATTCTTTTAAAAAATAACATTTTTTGCAGGAATTGAATTATTTTTTACAATTTTCATAAAATTCTTCGCAGACATTCAATTATTTTCAAAACATTCAAATAAAGTTCTACTAAAGAATTTAAATATCTTTTCATAATTAATAGAATTCTTCCCCAAAAATTCAATATTTTTTAAAAAATAACATTTTTTGCAGGAATTGAATTATTTTTTACAATTATTTTATAAAATTCTTTGCAGGAATTCAATTATTTTCAAAAATTTTAATAAACTTCTTTGAATTCTCGTTGAATTTTGTAATAAAAATTGATTTAAAATGAATTTCAGTTAAAATTTGATATAATAATTGAATAATATTAAAAGCATTATAGCGTACCAATTTTTAGCAATAATTGAATTTTGAAAAGTTTGCAAATTAAAATTTTAGGAAAATTTGAATTTTTCATACTTTTAACCAACAATTGTGTAGAATTAATTACTTTTGAAAAAGTTTAATTAAATTTTTTTTAAAATTATTTGAATTTGTTATTTTCTACAATTGTATTTAATTGAAGAATTTCCTAATAATCGAAATTTCACGTCAAATTGTATTGTTAAGAAATGGTTTTGAAAATTCTCAAAATGAACTTTTTTGCAAATTATTAAATTTAAAGAAGAATTTTGGTTAAAAATTGTAGAAAATAATAATTGAATTGAAATGATGAAAATAATTTTGAAAAAATTGCAGTTACAATAGTCTTATGTAAAATAATGATTTTATCACACGGTCATCTTTCATTATTAGTTAGAAAACATGAAGACATATTCCCTTAACAAATGACACAGACGACAATTTTTCAATTTAAAACATTTTTGAATGAATTAATATTTCGAGGATTTGAATGAATTTTCGTGTTATATGATAATGAATAATTTTTTAACTGATTCGGTCTTAATTAGAAACCGTGGGATCCTTGGAAGTGATGACGCACATGTCTCGAGAATAATAATAATTGGTTTTCCAAGGAATTTTTGCGAGGGGAATGAATGAATGATTGACTTGACACGTGAATTCCAACATGTCGCGCTTTGCAAAGCATATTCTTTAATTTCAGTAAAGCAGTAATTCTGTAGAATATTTATGAATGCATTCAGCATATTGCATTGATGATACAATATACTAATATTCCCACAATTTTCGAAAGATGATATATAAGTAAAAATATATTTTATTTTGTAAAATTAATTTTCATTATTTGCAACAGAGTTGTCCTGAGGCTTGGGAGCTCAACTGCTTTTTCCAACGATCTTCAACTTTTAGAAAATGAAGTAAAACCACTTCGAAAGAAATCTTCATGTCCAAGGGACTACAAAAGGACTAGTGTAGAAACTCATTTCAGAAGTGCAGACTTTATTTTGGATTGGTGTTCTTTCAGATTGGTTTGTAGCGTTTAAGCGATTAAGTACATTACAAAAAGTTTTCAATTTTCGTTTCTATCAAAAAGAGATTATTTTATGTCTTATGCTACTGTTTGGGTATTTTTTTAGATTTCAGTCACTAAAAGCTCCTATTTCTGTTTTTTTTTTTTACAATTTCCACTACATTAAATTCTCAAATACTAGAAATTCAAAAACTATTATCAAAAATTAGGTATAATCTAGTTATTTTAAACAATTCAATTATTTTTAAAAAATATTCAAAATTCAATTATTTTCAATATCTAGTATTTTCATCAAATAGCAATTCCATTTTTTAAAAAAATTTTTGATAAAATTCTAAGCAAGAATTCAATTATTTTCATAAATAATAAAATTCATCGAAGAATTTCAATTATTTTTAATACTATTTTAAAATTAGTTAATCGAAAAATTCAATTATTTTCAGAAATAAAGTTTTCCACAAGAATTCAATTATAAAAAATAAAATTTTCATAATATTTATTATATTTCGAACAAATTAATTATTTAAAACAATGTTATAAAATTCTTCTGAAAAATTCAATTATTTAAAAGAAAAAAAAATTTTCATAGGATTTCAATCATTTTTAAACATTTTAATAACATTTTTCGAAATAATTCATTTATTATCATAAATAATAAAATTCTTCTCAGAAATTCAATTATTTTTGAAAATTTTAATAAAATAATTCTTTGCAATTATTCAATTATTTTCATAAATAATAAACTTCATCGCAGGATTTCAATTATTTTTAATAGATACAATTTTACAGGAATTGATTAAAAAATGTACCTAATTATTCTTAAAAATTTAATTTCAATTTCTCGAAATAATCAATTATTTTAAAAAATGTTTTTTTTTTAATTTTTTGGAAGAATTGAATTATTTACAAAAATATTATAGAATTTTTCACAGGAATTTAATTATTTTAAATATAATTTTAATTAAATTTTTTTGAAATAATTTAATTATTCTTTTAGATTCTAACAAAATTTTTCGAAATAATTCAATTATTACCAAAAATAATAAAATTCTTTTCAGGAATAAATTATTTTTGAAAATTTTAATAAAATTCTTTGCAACTATTCAATTATTTTCAAAAATAATAAAATTCATCTCAGGATTTCAATTATTTTTAATATAATTTTACAGGAATTGCTTGAAAATGGATAATTATTATTAAAAATTTAATTTCAATTCCTCGAAAAAATCAATTATTTAGAAAAATGTTTTTTCAAAATTCTTTGGAAGAATTCAATTATTTACAAAAATATTAGAATTCTTCACAGGAATTCAATTATTTTCAAATATGTTAATAAAATTGTTCGAAAGAAATCAATTATTTAAAATAGAATTTTAATTAAATTTTTTTGAAATAATTCAATTATTCTTTTTGATTTTAATAACATTCTTCCCAGGAATTCAATTATTTGCATAAATAATTCTTCGAATTAATTCAATTATTAAAGATAAATAACAAAATGATTCCCGAACATTCAATTATTTTGAGTCATTTTAATAAAATTCTTTGCAAAATTCAATCATTTTTGATAAATAAAAATATTCATCACAAAAATTCAATTATTTTTAAAAGTAATAAATTTATTCTTGGAAATTAAATTATTTGAAAAAATTCTAATAAAATCGTTCTCAAGAATTCAATCATATGCATAAATAATAAAAAGCTTTTTAGGAATTCAATTATTTTCAAAAAAATTTAATAAAATACCACACATGGATTTAATTATTGGCAAAAATTTTAATAGAATTCTTTGCAAAATTTAATTATTTTTAAACACTTTTTGCAATTCAATGATTTTCAATATCAACTATTTTCATAAAATTTTCAAACAGAATTCAATTATTTAAACCTTTTTTCTAAAAGTCCTCGTAAGAATTCAATTTTTTTCATGAATAATAAAAATCTCTCAGGAATTCAATTATTTAAATTATAATTTGCATAAAATTAGTCTAAAGAAATGAATTATTTAAAAATGTTTATAAAATTCTTCGCGAGAATTAAATTATTTTTATAAATATTTAAATTCTTTGATGAATAATAAAATTCGTTGCAGGAATTAAATTTATTATCAGGATAAGAAAGAAGTAAATATTTTTGATGAAAATTAGGAAAAGTCAGTAAAATAAAATATAGAATGGAATTTTTGTCAGTATTGTTAAGTTTAAAACGAGTTTTTTTGGTCGTCAAGTTTAATTTTTCGATAGTTACTCTTTTTCTACTTTTTTTAGTTTGAAAGATACTTTTTACTACTTTTTTAAAATTAATTATCGAGTGCAAAGTCTGATTATGGTTAATGAACTCAGAAAATCTTCGAGTTTCACATATACATTAAAATTAGATTTTCCAAAAATATGGTCACAACGAATTTGAATCATTAAGAGTTGAAAAATAGGTTTTCTTTTTTTTAAACAATTACATAATCAAATCATAACTTATTCAGAAACGAAAGAATAAAATTTGTTTGTGATACTTCTCAATCTCTCTAAAGTGAGCAAAATCTATTGAGCAGCAATGTTTATTTATAAATAAATTATTGACATTGCTGAAATATTGAACACTTTAGATTGACGAAAGCCACGATTTGCATCAAGAGAGTGCAAGACGAGGTCCCAGTATGAATGTCATTGGAAGACCACCATCGAATTTGGTGGAAAATTCCGAGTGGCGCTGGACCCAACCAACGAAATCTGGAGTTCCAACCAGAAATTACTTCAGAGAAATAGTCACTACGATTTTCATTCCTGGAATTATACTTATAATTCTATTAGGGGTCTTGAGCACGGCCTTGTGTCTTCATCACGACAAATTGTAAGTTCATTGCTTTACTATTATTATTATTGTTATGTTAATTTTGAAACAAAAATAAAATCAGTCGACGCTTATCGGGAAAGACAAGTAGATTGTTCGATATTTAGTTTAGACGTCATTCGAAACACCCACTTGTATCCTTATTCGTTTATCGTTTCCGCGATGAGCTATAAAGTGTGATAAAAAATTAACGCTTTACTGAATTAAAAAAATCAATTTCCATTTATATTTCAAAACTCGAAAGCCAGAGGAACTGTTTATAATCGGTTTAATCTCCTAGGTCAACTTTTTAAACTGTAATGTTTTGCTACGTCAACAAATTATCTGTAATACGTTAGTGCATTGACGACGTAATAATAACCATTATTGAAACGTAACGTCTGAAGACTTTAATGAAACTTTTTTTCCTTTCTCATTCAGCCACATTTCAATAACTTGAAATTCTGTTAACGATTGAAATTAATTAAAAGGGTGTACCGTAAATTGAATGAGGCGATTTTTAAGGCATTCGAGCATGAAAAGAGCAATAAAATGTTGTTGATTAGAAGTCGACCGTGACATGTCGGATCTTTAACATATAAGCGAATTACGTCACTGATAATTCACGTCACACGAATGGAAAACTAGCGACTGCAATAAGTGACCGGTAAACCGTTGTCTTGTTTGATCATAAAGAAATAGTGATGGCTCGCGGTCACTTACCCGCGCTAGGCATGTATATGAGGAACAATGTGTATGAATAAATTTTCTAGTTGTGTGCTATGCAGAGGCGCACACTCTTTTCAGGCGTTAACACTGTCACTTATTAAAATAAACTGAATACTCGTAATGATCAAAGAGCTCAAGCGCCAATTACTTTATATGTGAACACCCATTTCATTGGACAATTAACTATGATTAAATTATCTGCACTATGATCATCATGGATGCTTAAGGGTCATTTATTTAAGACCAAACAAATTGCCCTTTATTCAGTAAATCAATCCGTTCAGAGATGACTTATTCTTTGTTGATTATTAAAGTGCTTCAACCAAACGGAACAAGAATTATTAGGGGTGCCACAAAAAATTCATTTTTATTTTCCTTGATTTACAAACTTCTTCCTGACTGATTTTGACTTTCTCCCTGATCCTAAAGAATATTCTGCGATTCACTCTAAAAATGATTAGATACCTACTCAAAAAAATGTTCTATTACATTTATTTACAAACTTCTCAAATTGTAAAATTATTCGAAAACATCAATAACTTCATTTTTAAATAAATATTTAATTATTATCGTTCCACAGAAAATAAGATTTACAAAAATTTCAAATTCAAACCTTTTTGAAATTATTAAACAACTTATAAAAGTATTATATCATTATTTTATATTAAAAATATTATTTGTTGCTGAAACTTCTTAAAAATTATTTTCATCATATTCAATTATTATTTTCTAGAATTTTCAACTAAAATTCTTCTCTAAATCAACTATTTTTAATATTTTTTTGAAAAAGTTCTTTGATAATTTTCAAATACATTTGTTTAAAATTCAATTTTATGAAACTTTGATTATTCGAATAACTTCAAATTATATAAAAAAAAATTATATTAAACTTTTTCAAAAAAAATTAATTCTTCAAAATTGACAGTTAAACGTATATAAAATTGAAATTTTCAAATATTTTCATTTGAAACCTTTTGAAACTCAATACTTTATAAGAATATTATTATAAAACATAAGGACATTTGAGATAGATTTCTTCTATGTTTTTATAATAATTAAAAATATCCCAGTGATAAAATCATTATTTTATATTGTAAAAATATTGTTGCAGTAACTTTTTAAAAATTATTTTCATCTTTTAAATTCAATTATTATTATTTTCTAGAATTTTTAACTTTTTTTTGATTATTCGGAAATTCTTCAATTAAATATATATTAGAAAATTAAGACTTCGAATAATTTCAAAAAAAAAATTCAATTAAAGATTTTTTAAAAAATTAATTCTACAGAATTGTTAGTTAAAAGTACGAAAAATTCAAATTTTCAAAGATTTTAATTTAAAACCTTTTCAAAATTCAATTATTTTTAAAATTCACGCTACTATAATGTTTTTAATATTCAATTATTTTCTAAAATGTTAACAAAAATTCATTTTCAAATAAATTTTTATTAGAAAATTTCAACGGAAATTCAATTATTTAAATACAAAATAAAATAATTTAATTTAATACCTAGTTGAATGTTTCTTACAATTGAAATTTTAAGAAGAATTTTATTAACAACTTTTGAAAATAATTAAGTTTCTCTCTGTTTAAATTCTTTTAAGGAATTTAAATAAAATTTTACTGAAATTTATTGAATTAAAGAATTTTATCACAATTTTTGAAAATAATTGAAAATTTTTGAAGGATTTTATTAGAATTTTGAAAAATAATTGAATTCATAAGAAGAATTTAAATAATAATTTATGAAAATAATTGCATTCATGAGAAGAATTTTATTTGTTTAAATAATTGAAATTTTGACAAGAATTTTATTAAAATTTTTGAAAATAATTTACTTCTTGAGAAGAATTTCGCTACCCACTTATAAAAATAACTTAATTCATGACGAGTATTTTTCAAAAATTTTGAAAATAAGTTAATTTTTGCAAAGTATTTATTACTTTTCAAAAGAATTGAATTCTTCTGATAAATTTTGATATTTATCAAAATAATTGAATTTTGTGAAAGAATTTTATTAAAATTCCTTAAATTTAATATTAATATTCAATTATTATCAAAAATTTTTAATTAAAATTCATTTTTAAATCAATTTTTTTAAAAATTGTAGGAGACTTCAATTGTTTAAATACAAAAATAAATAATTAATTAAATAAATAAATGTTTCTCAAAATTGAATTTTCATTTAAAGAATTTAAAAATTCTTGTAAAATTGTATTGAAAATAATTGAAATTCTATGATGATTTTTATTATTCATGAAAATAATTAAATCTAGCTGTAAAAAATTTTATTATTTACGAAAATAATTGAATTATTGCGAAGAAATTTATAGAAAATTTGTAGATAGTTGAATTCTTGTGTTTTTATTATTTATAAAAATAATTTCTTATTTGCTTAGAATTTTATAAAAAATTTTGAAAATAATTGAATTTTGAAGAAGAAATTTATAATTTTTAAAAATAATTGAAATTTTGACGAGAATTTAAAAAATTTTTTGAACATAATTGAATTTTTGAAACATTTCGATACCTCCATGTATTACAATCCTATCTTACGGTGAAGGTTAATACAGTCCTATCTTGCGGTAACGTTTTATACAGTTCTATCTTGAAGTGACGGTTTATACCATTCTATTTCAAAATTTTCAATTTTTCAGTTTTTTGCTAAAATTATAGAAGAAAATATTCTGTATTAGATGGTAACACCTAAAATAGTTATATTAATTAGGATATTTATAAAAAACAGTAATTAGAAATAATAACAAGTTTTATCTTCCAAGTAAAAGTGTTCTATCTTTCTTTTGTTTTTGTATCTGTCAAAAAAAATATACACATGTGATTCGTATAATCGTGTTAGAAAAGCAAAAAAGAACAAAAGGTAGAAAATGGATATCCCTTTGGATTTAAGTATGCCATCAGGAAAAAAATTCTTTACTGAATAATAATAAAAATATATAAATTTATAAAGTGATTATTTTATCTGTTAATTTTGCTTTATTTTAACTTTTCTTACACCAGGAGAGACTTGTTCTGACGTAGAAATTGAGATCATTCGAATTCAGACTCGGATTGACTATTTTGACTAATATTACAGATACTTTTATTATTATAATTATATTGTAATTTATAATCTTGTTATCGTTTGTAAAATATATAATAAAATACTAGTATAATATAATCTTTCACGGAGAGAAATTTATAGTAGTGGGTAACATAATTGTGGTTAGGGTGACCATCTTTAATGCTACGTATACAGACAGCTATCTAGATAGTCACCGTTACCATCAATATCATCAGGAGTAACATCTTGGTAGTACGGGGTAGCATAACTATATTTTTTTTAGCATCTGTGATGGTTGGCAGTAGCATAATGATAGTATCGTGTAACATCATCTTTTTAACATCAAAATCTGACTATCCATTTCTCTCAGTGTTGAAACATACTTATAAATTCTATATTGGAGTGACGTTTTCAACGTTTATTACAGTAAAATAATGTAGATTTTTAAATTACTTTATTATTATTCTATTTGTATTCTCACTTGTGTAAAAATTTTCTACAATCAAAACCTCGTTTACTTACTTATTTAAATATTTGTATCTATACTTAAAACTCATAAAAATGATACGTTTATTTTAACTAATAATAATTGATAATTAAAATTAAACAAGAAAACTAACAACATTATTTTTATCATTCCACTATCCCGTGAAATATTAACCTGTCATAAAATTAGGTTAATTAACCTTTGTAGAAGTATTAAGAATGCATTTTCTTGGCTTGATTTTATATAATTGTGTTTTATTTATGTATATTATGATAGAAAAATCTTTAAAGAATTACATAAAAATTATCTTATGAATATCAAACTGTCATTAATATTTTTAATATGGAATTTACTTTTAATTTGGCTCTTACGCAAAATTGGAAAATTTGAGATAGAATGGTATAAAGCGTTACTTCAAGATAGAGCTGTATAGAACGTTACCGCAAGATAGGACTGTATTAACCTTCACCATAAGATAGGATTGTAATACATGGAGGTATCGATTTATAACTTCTCTAAAATTTCATTTTTTTTTGTGTTTTTAACTAAAATTGTTTTATAAATCCATGATTTTTAATAATTAATTAAATACATATTAAAAAATTGAAGAAAACTAATTTCAGAAGAATTTGAATTATTAAAATATTTCAAAAATCTAAGTTATTGAAATTTTTTTATTAAATTCGTTAAAAATTGCAATTTTCTAAAATTTCAAATTAAAACCTATTAAAGTTCATTTATTTATGAAATAATTGTAAATGCAACTCTTTTAAAATTGAATTAATTTTGAAGTATTTAAATTAAATTATTCATTAAATAATTTGTAAGTAATAATTTTGTAATAGTTTTTGAAGAATGAAATTATTTAAAAAGAAATTATTGTCAAACATATAATAATTAAAGGTTTTGTATTAGAATTCGTGATAATTTCATAGTTTCTGAAGCGAACAAAAAGGACAAAAAAATTCGTAATTTTCTTATGAATTTTGAAAATTAAAGTTTTTCAGTACTTTTATTAAAAATCCCTGACTTTTCCCTGAATTCCCTGACCTGTGGCATCCCTGATTATGTTAATAACAATTTAGTAAAATTATCCGTTTTCTTCTTTCATTTCTTAATTAATCTAAATAATAATTGTTTTCACTGAAAACTTTTGTTAATTTAACAAAATTTATCAAGTCCTATCAGTTTGAATTCAGTTTTCAAAGAGAATAGTTTATTAATTATTTTTTACAAATATTAAACATTTTTTTCAATATACTCTCTACAAGTTTAAATTTATCGATGAAAATTTCAATTCAGTTTAACATTATTCATTAAATTTTTTTAAAAGTATATTTAAAGTAATTAAATATTACAAATTTCATTGACGACTTTCTCAAGGATGTACAGTCGATCTACGCACGCGACTAATAATATCCTTATCGCGTTTATGATAATTTATGCAATGAACAGCACGTCTCGCACACAATTGCGACGATTTCTGAAAGCACGTATAGTTGTATTATTATTATTATTATTATTAGCTTCAGGCACAACAAATCAACGATAGTTTTGGACTTTAATAAAACTTTGGAACTTTATTTTCATTCATTGAAAAAAAAGTCCGAATGTAATAATCACAATTTTGGTTAACAATGAGAATTGAAAACAATTTGAAAATAACCAAAATTTTGATTCTCCTAGCACTAGAATTATTATTATTATTATTTGTATAATTGTAAGAATATTTGTTGCAATTATTATTTATTACAATGTATTATATTTATATGTTTTGATTTTATTTTTGTAGGATCGATCCAGAATCAGACAAATATTTCCATGAACTGTTTAACCTTTTCCTTGATCAAAAAGAGATCGCGAGGTAAATTTTCTAGTGAAGATGTCAATCTTGTAAATTGCTAATTTAAAATAAGGAATCTGTAACAATATTAAAAATACATATATCATTTTCTATATTTGTTTCCTAAATTTTAATTTTAGAGATAATACTTTTTACAATTATTGTTTAAATCTCTAATCTTCACCTAAATTTTCAATAAAATAATAGTTTATTAAGATTAAAATGCAATTTAGCAAAATCCGAGAAATGAAAATAACGATTTAAAAACCTAAAGCTTTGTTTCTATAAAATTGAATTTCGTATTTTTACAATGAGCCTCTACTTACATAATTATATACTTTATTATAGTTGCATATTATAATTTATTTCTTATTGCATCTGTATAGAAATCAATGTTGCATGTTATTTTATACTTTATTTTTATTTCAGAATGAATTTACTACTGGAGAATTTCAAAGTTGCTTCAAATTTTTTACTTACATAATTTAGTGGATTTTATTATTTTTCTATTTTTGCATTATTTACACGTGCATGCATGGATTTCAAAAAATAATAAATGGTGCGTATTTTTTATTAAAAAAAAAAAAGAATTTTTAAAGATCAATTTTTTTAGAGAAATGGAAACTACTCATTTTCTATTTATACTTCTTTAAAAGAATGAAAAACAAATTCTCTAAAAAAAAAGATTACTTTGTTGGAAATCCTGGATTTGCGTTTTCTATAAAATATTATTTTTCAGAGAAAAAAAAGAACCATCTCCAGTAGAGGAGCATGGAACTAATGGTGTTCAAATGGTGCAATATGCAACATCCAGTAAAGGAACATTGAGATCACTCTCTACTCAGCCCACAAGTCCGAGCAATTCTTTGTCTCGTAGTCCAAAGTGAGTGAATTAATGTTTATCAATTTTTAACTTTCAAATCTAAACATAACATTCAAATATTCGTAAATTATAAAATTTTCTCAAAATTCAAACGAAAATGAAAGTGAACATTTCAACTAAAAAATGAATACCATTTAACAGTATTATTACATATAATAAATCAAATTTTTACTTATCAGAATTTCACGCTTCGCACTTATCTACTAAAACCTACTAGGTATTTACTACTTTTCTTACGTTAGGCTACTATTTGGGTACTTTTTTTAGATTTCAGCCACTAAAAGCTACCATTTCTGTTTTTCTTTTGAGAATTTCTATAACTTTAAATTCGCTAATACTAGAAATCAAAAAACTATTCTCAAAAATTATAATTAAATTTTTTAAAACGATTCAATTATTTTCAACAAATATTCGAAATTCAATTATTTTCAATATCTAGTATTTTCAAAAAATTTCGCAATAGAATTCAATTATTTAAAAAGAAATGTATAAAATTCATCCAAAATTTAATTATTTTCATAAATAATAAAATTTCCACAGGAAATCAATTAATTTAGAATAACATCTTCTAAAAAATCAATTATTTAACAAAATTTTTATACAATTCTTCACAATAATTCAATTACTTTCACTAACAATAACACTTTTCATGGATATTCAATTATTTAAAAAAAAGTTTGATAAAATTCTAAGCAAGAATTCAATTACTTTCATAAATAATAAAATTCTTTGAAGAATTTCAGTTATTTTTAATACTTTTTTAATTTAATTAATCGAAAAATTCACTTATTATCACAAAGAAAGTTTTCCACAAGAACTCAAATATTTAAAATAAAATTTTCATAATATTTATTATATTTTGAACAAATTAATTATTTAAAACAATGTTTATAAAATTCTTATGAATAATTCAATTATTTAAAAAAAAAATTTTCATAGGATTTCAATCATTTTAAAATATTTTAATAACATTTTTCGAAATATTTCATTTATTATCATAAATAATAAAATTCTTCTCAGAAATCCAATTATTTTTGAAAATGTTAATAAAATAATTCTTTGCAATTATTCAATTATTTTCATAAATAATAGACTTCATCGCAGGATTTCAATTATTTAATACAATTTTACAGGAATTGATTAAAAATGTAATTATTCTTAAAAATTTAATTTCAATTTCTCGAAATAATCAATTACACAGCCACACAAAAAAAATAAAGTGTCTTGATCTGGGGTCGAGACATATGTATTCCGATGCGCTGAATCCGAATCCGCCATCAGAATTTGGCCAATGGGTCCTGGTTTCGCCCAAACCTCAAAAATACCCTAAAATAGTTAAAATGGTCACTTTTGAATTATCAAAATTGAATCTAACCGCATATTGATAATTTTCTAAGATCCCTTAATTTAAATGAACTATTCTATAAGCTTTTCAATTGAAAATTCATATAAAACATTACATCTATCGAACCTAACCTCAAAAACACATCTAAGCTTCCAAACAAACAAATTATACCATACACAGCGCAATAAAAAATAGGTAAGCTCATGAAAGTTACAACTTAGGTGTTTCTATGACTGCTGATTACAAAGCCGGTGTTAGTTTATCAAAATTCAAAATGGCGGATCAAATATGTCGAACAATATAAATAAAATTTGTTTGGATTGGCTTGAAAATCGTTACTCGGGGGTTTTTGGGGTCGCTGATGACGAATCCCATGTCGGTTTCTAAAAATTCAAAATGTCGGATCCAATATGGCGGTCTTTATTATTTTAACGATTTTTTTAAATTTATCACTCGCGGTTTTTCGGAACCTTTGATAACGAATCCTATATCAATTTTTATAATCTTAAAGTCTTACGAGTTGTTTTCTAACAATTTTTTCTAACTTAAGATTTTAAGGCTTTAAGATTAAAAAAATTGATATACAATTCGTTATCAAAGGTCCCGAAAAACCGCGAGTAATAAAGTAAGATTATAAAAATTTATATACGATTCGTTACTAAAGGTCCCGAAAAACCGCGAGTAATAAATATTAAAAAATCGTTAAAATAACAAAGACCACCATATTGGATCTACCATTTTGAATTTTTAGAAACCTACATCGGATTCGTCATCAGCGACCCCGAAAACCCCCGAGCAGGGTTGGGCGCGTAAAATACCTCAGGTAAATTACGTGGTTTTTTACGGTAAAATACAAGGTAAATTACTTCACTAGTTTTTGACACGAGGTAAATTACTGGAACATAACCTCCAAACTGTCAAACTAATTATTTAAAATTTAAATAAACCGATGAGCAAAGGTGGCAGGCATCGTTATATATCATTATACCCAACATTCTTTAATATTTTCTTGCAAATTAAGGAAGAATCCGACAAACAATCGGATATAATATAATTTTTTGTCAATAATAAACGATTTAAGTAACATAACCTAAAATTTAACAAATGTTTCTTATTGAGATCTGAAAAATTTGTCTTCTTATTTTAAATTACGAAATTATGACATTGGAATAACTTTTATTTTAACTGTACATCAGATTCTTCCTTAATGTAAGGTGATTCGTGATTTTGTTTAATTTTATGTCTCTGCAACATTGTTGACAACAAAATGTGAGGTTATAAACGATTTCATTTGAACCAGGTAATTTCAATGGAGTTGAAGAAAGCCGGTTTTTCTCAAAAATATCGTTTTTTCTTGCCTTAGACATTGTGTAATAAAACACTTTTTTGTAATAAAAGGTTTTTAAATCTTAAATAATTACAGTGTTATTTAAAAACATAAAAAAAATAGGACGTCAAACGGTCAAATTAAAAATAATAATAAGTCCGCCATATTGAACGTGTAATTTACAGTATTTTACAGTTTATTACGTAAAATACCTCGTTTGAAGTATTTTACGTAGAAAACCTAAAGTGACGCGTCACTTCCCATCACTGCCCCCGAGTAACGATTTTCAAGCCAATCCAAACAAATTTTTAATTATATTGTCCGCCATATTGAATCCGCAATTTTGAATTTTGATAAACTAACACCGGCTTTGTAATCTTCTTCTTCTTGTTGTTTAAATGGCCTCTTGCGTATTACACAGATAGCCAGTACTAAAGGCCAACGCAGAATAGATCTGTAACCGGAACCGCAATCGTAAGCGTAACCGTAAGAATGAGTTAAAGAAGGATAGGTATATTGTTTATCCTTCTCTAACTCATTCTTACGCTTACGGTTACGATTGCGGATATTGTTTATCCTTCTCTAACTCATTCTTACGCTTACGGTTACGATTGCGGTTCCGGTTACAGATCTATTCTGCGTTGGCCTTAATAGGTATGTTCTCGTTGCCTACATTTCTTACACTTTAACACCTAACCTGCACTATGCTGTTCTCTTTGCCGGATGTGACGTAATTTTACCATACATTTCGCTACACTTTCTGCACCTACTCTTGAGGTGGTGTAAAAGTTACACTGAGGCTGGAGTCCCATGGTAGCGTTTTGCGTTGCGTTTTGTAACTAGGCAATGAGTGCAAATAGAGCAAACCTATATCTGTATCTCTCTCACACTCATGGCCTAGTTACAAAACGCAACGCAAAACGCTGTCATGGGACTCCAGCTTTAGTGCAGGCAACGAAAACATACCTAATAGTTGGTTGCTTATTTTGAGTTGAGTTGTATGATTGGTTAAGCGTTTACTTTCCAAGTAGTCCAATTCAGTAGAGAGGCGTATAGGCGTATAGTGAATAGGCAGGCGGGAAAAAAATATTTTATAAAAAATTTTCTGAAAATATACGTCCCCAATTATTGAAAAATATTTGAGTTGGATGTATCTGGAAGAAAGAATAAACTTAATTCGTTGAATATTGTAGAGTCAGATAGATATAATTATATTTTATGGTTTGTAAATTGTTGGCCAAATAAAAATCCATTCATAGTTCCTATGCGCTCCAAGTTCATATAATTTAGGGAGGAGAGAAATTCAAATGCGATATAAATAGAGTATATAAAAGGATTTGAAAAATGGATAATTTGGGAAATGTTAAGGTGATAAGAGAGAGAGAGAGAGAGAGAGAGAGAGAGACAAAGAAAGCACTTGATACTTATTTAGTAATATATTGTGAAGTAGAAGATTAAAGTTAAGTTTATAATAAGTAGATATTAAGAATAAAGAAGGGCATAGATTCGAACATGAAAGTTATGCGCATACATCCATGCTTCCTGCTCACCTACAATTCACATAAACATATTTTGTGTTAATTTTAGGAATCAAGTAAGAGTCGATTTTGGTTGTGAGATGAATGTTCTATGAGCACCATCACATACCATAGGTTTCAATATCACACGGAAAAGTTTTTGGGCGAGCAGACGTCTCTCACTCGCCTCCCACAGAAAAGGTTTTCTGCTTTCTCTCTAAAGAGAGCTCTGATGCCCCACAAGAGAGCTCTGACGCCCCACAGTAGGAAAGCAGCAGTCTCTGTGGGTGAAATGAGCTACCAAAATGGGGCTGTCACTTTACCATAGGTACTGGTCACTCAGCGCCACCACAACAGGTACAGCGACTCGCCCAAGAACTTTTCCGTGCAGTTATAATTAAATATAAAAATCTCCCCTCTCAAAGAATTGGCCAATCTCAGCGATCGTCTCCCTCTCAGGATTAAATATGAGTGGGTTCAAGTCGATGAGTTCAGGATTGAAATCAGCAAGCCTAACCGAAAGAAAGGAAAAAAAGGTCGGTCTTCCCGGTGAAAGCATCGGGCAAAAACACAATAAATGGTTAAGGTCCTGAAGTTCTGCTCCACATTCGCAACCAGTGGGGAGGGACCAACCCATCCTAGCAAAGTGAGAGCCTATACGTAGATGGTTGGATCGTAGTCTGCCTACCGCTACTAAATATCTACGAGGAACATCCAGGTTTTTGAACCATAGTTTCTTAGTCTTAGTGTAGTTAACAAAATTGATGTATCTATTTTGTGAGGGTGGTTCGTTATAGTTAGGCCAAAGTAG